TATCTCTTGTGTTTGGGTGCATTTAGCATTTTCTTTCTCTCTGTGAAAAGCCTACATGAGTTAGAGCGCCCTGCGAGGACCTTCTTCACTGATCGATGATCGATTTTCACTTCTGACGAGTCGTTTGAAAAAGCAAAAGGACCTGTTGTTGTTTTTAGTGACTGTGGAGCTGCAGGTGGAAGGAGGGACCGCAGGTGGACCACCTGGCCGAGCCGGGCGAACGGAGACCAGGCTCTTTACTCTGCAGGTGTGAGAGGTGCGAGGCGTTCCTCCTTCCACCGAGTGGCGCTCTTGGTCTTTACAGTATATGGACTTTCACCCTCTGCCTGCCTGATTCCTTTAGTCCTCATCAACACTTGTTTTAAACTTCTTGTAAACAAAACAGAGCATAGATATGAATGTGTTATTAAAGATGAGAAAACGGAAACTCGCCTCCTCCTCCTTTTCTGTGTCGTTTTTCAACCTTCAAATTTACAAAACTAAAATGGGGAACTTCTTAAGAATACAGTAATTGACCTGCTGGAGCCTACGCCCTGCTGAAGATCCCCTCAGATTTTCCATTAACAGGTCAATATTCATGTCATTGCATGAACTATAAAGGTGCAGCATTAGTGGAGAGTGAAGCCAAAGAGATAGAAGATGAAAACAGTCATTTTAAAAGGTGCAAATAATGTTCAGAAAACAGTGTTTGACCACCTGGAGATAAAAGGCTGATACAGATAATCAGACACATGCCAAATAACGAATAAAAACACTCTTTTAACGTGGAGTGAAAAGTTCAGTTTGTGCAGATCAGACATGAGTGAGAACAAATGCTGTTTACTGTATTTGAGATTTAAGATTTTCAACATTTTGTACAAAATTACAAAACAGAAGAAAAAAAATCAACCTAATTTGTCTTTTTAATGAACACATTAACACACATGAGCACTTTTCTACAGTAAACCAACCAGAAACAGGTTTTTACTGTTAAATCAGACATTTATTCAAACTGGTACTTCTAGTTGTGCTGCACCGATGTGACAGTATCGTTTATTATCACTCAGCTCTCAATAAAACAGAAAAATCAACATTTACAGAAAATTTAAACCTAAAGAAAATAAAAATCTGTAAAATAAACAGATTTATTCAATACAAAGCCGACCTCAGGCATAAGCGGCTAATAGGGGGGCCCCCCAAGAGCAACTAAAAAAAGAAACCATTTAAAATCATGTTTATTTTCTGCATGTATGAGTGATGCTTTCTGTCTGATCAAATATATATAATGGTAAAAATAAAATAAAGTAAAAACGTTTCAGTGCTGCTGCTGATGTAGGCCGATGATTCTTACTGCCGATATGTCAAAGCTCCTCTACAGTTATGAACCTCCTGCTGTGAAATGTGAACTGAGCATCTACAGAGCAGGTAACAATGTCCCAAAAAAGGACATATCCTTCAGGAGCAGAGAAGAAGAAGAGGAAAAAGAGGAAAAAGGCCAAGGTAAAGGTTTGTTTGCATGTCAGGGAATGTTAATCAAAGAGGTTTGTTAAGGTGTGTGAGTGATCAATAATCAATATTATTGGCAGAAACAGAGGGCCCCAAAATCACATTTTGCTGAGGGCCCCACTGAGGCTCTGATTCAATAAAAGAAGCTTTTGAGTCTTTCACTTTGTCACTGAAACCAGAGGAACTGTTCCTTGGAGCAGTGCTGCCCTCTGCTGGTCAACACAGCATACAAAGATCCGTAGGTCCCTCTTGTGGTCAAATAAAGCAACGACCCCAAAATTCATCATGCAAGAAATAAACATGTCCTTCATATTTCCCACTCCTCTATTTCTCCCCTCTGTTCATCTGCACTTTTCCTCGTGATTCTCTCTCTCTCTCTCTCTCTCTCTCTCTCTCTCTCTTTTCATTCCTCCCTCCTCCTTCATATTTCTCGATTAGGCAGGATTTTAACCATTTAACATTACTAATAATAATGAATTTTAACATTATTTAAGCTGTTTAGAGTTTGTGGTTTGATAGGGCACACAGGAGTGACACATTTTTAAGATAGTTTTTGGAAACACAGTTTTTTGTTTCTTTATTTAAATTTGAGCTGAGATGTGAACACCTGTGTAAATGAAGCTCTCCAGGTTCTGAGTATTTCACTGATGTGAAGATCAAAATTCACGATCTTTCTGTCAAAGGGAAGGCCTGAGAGAACGACCTGTAGACACTGTTTTAAATACAGGACCGAGGCTGCGTTCACACTGCAGGTTATGATGCACAATTCAGATTTTTTGTTAAATCCGATCTTTTTGTGCGGTTGTTCACATTACAACAACGAATGTGGCGTCTAATGTGAACGGAATGCGTCCATGAAGTGACCTGCAGAGTGAACATAGCCTGAGTGTTTCGTCTCCATAAGAACAGAGCGGATAAAACATGACAAATAAAAACTAAATCAAACATCTATCTTCTTTTTGTTGTTTTATTTTTGCAGTCCTGTTTTTGTTTAACTGAACAAACTCAGTTAAAAACATGAATCCTTTATGAGGAGTCAGAGGAGGGGGGCCGGGGAGGTGCAGGATTTATCCTAGTCTTCAGCCATTTTGGTTTTCTTAACCCCAGAGCGTGTCTGAACCGTCTCCACTTTGAGGCCTTCACAGGTTCTGGTTCTGGCTCTGGCTCTGGTTCTTGCTCTGGTTCTGGTTCTGGGGTTGGCAGTCCTAATCTCCTACGCTCCAGCTCATCGAAGGGCAAAGTTGGACATGAAAAGTAGGAGCGCCCCCTGCTGGTTCCTCTGTTCCTCTTAAACAGCTCCCAGCTATCCAGGAATTCATCATCTCGGATGTTTCTCCACGGGTTTTTGTCGGCCCGCTCCAGAGGTCTGTACGCTCCTGCAGGAAAACCAAATGGGGGTGAGACCTGCTGTAGACCAGGTGACTCCCACATGTCGTCCTGATCTGTGAATCGCTCTCTGGCTGCAGGGCTGAAGCTCCTCTCTCTGATTGGTCCTCGTCTCTGTCTCTGCATGTCGGCCGATTGAATTATCGTCGGATTATTGAATTTCCCTTGAAGGATCAAAAAGGTTCTTGTTGATGTTGCTTCAGTATCAGTGAGACTGAACATCTGCTGTCATTCAAACATGAATGTTTTGTTTATTTTAAAAAGTGTCACCATGACAACAATCATCTCTGTCTGTGTCTGAAATGAACCTCTAACCCACAGATGGAGTTTCACTCTATATCTGACTGTGTAGTGAACTCAATCACCGCAGGTTTCGGACACTACATGGCAAGACGCAATGCATGATGGGATGCCCACCACCAGTGTGTGACCATCGGATGGTCACTACATTTTGCAATGCTTTATGGGAAATTTTGAGTCGCCGATTTGGGGCATTGGAATTGATCATTCAGGTTTCAGACACCCCTCAAAATGGCGCTAACCCCCACATAGTCTCATTTTTTCTGCATGATCTAATTCTTTAAGCTCATTCAAACGGATTCAAACTGATTTAAACCACAAACCTTTCTGATACTTTAGGATTTTTAATTATTTAAATTTTCCCCATTTTATATCATTTTCACTGTTCATGAATTATTCAGTTCGTCAAACTTCTGCAACTACTACTAATATCATTTTAACTTGTACCTTCACTCCTACAGCTGCTAAAATAAATACTTTACTGCTACGACTACTTCTAACACGAGCTCTACTACTTTGACTTCTACTTATTCTATTCTAAAACTACTACTACTATTAATATGACTACTAATATCAGTACTACAACTACCTCTTATCATACTACTACTTGTTCTACAACTTGAACTTATGCCACCGATCACTTTTCTGTGTTTTAAGGTCATTTCCTTCTTGATACATATTTTGTGCAGTTTCATACATTTTTCAGCCTCTTTCGGCATGAATGCAATTTCAATTTCTGACTATTTATCCTTCAACGATTTCACATTCATCCAAAAGCAGTTTAGCATCGCTTTTCCAGCTTTTTCAGCTTTTAGCACTCAGCGTTTCCAGGTATTTTCTGCAAGGAAATGCCGTTTTTCCTCGTTATCACTGATCCGTCTCGTTATGGCAGCACCTCCTTAGATCTGAAACCTGCTTTTTCATATTTTTAACTTTTATGCTGCAAAATTGAAATAAGTAAACCAATCAATTCTTCATGCAAAATCAAAAGCAAAATGTATTTGGTGACCAATAAATGTATAAAATGGACCTCTGACTCTCTGAAATGAGGTCGATGATGGCGGTAATGAGAGTGAGTGGGACTGTCACCAACAAAGAAGCAGCTCAGTTCAACTTTTTCTGACCTCAAACTGTAAAAGGTGGTGAAATTTATGTTTTATGATTATTTTGAAGCTCAAGTTACAGGGATTTTATTTGGGTTTCAGATAATCTTTTAAAACTTGAAGGTGCTGAAAACACCTGCAGATATTAAATTATCAGCAGGTGATCAGGGTGGTTTTCACAGACTCATTACAGCCAAATCTTAAAATGCAGTATCCTCATGTTCATATCAAACATGTGGTCTGAGATTTTTGTCTTATGTACGGATGATCACTGAGAGAAACTATCATTTTCCCATTTTGATTGGTTTGAGTTTGCAGACATTTTACCTCTTAAATCAAAATCCATTAAATTAATTTGATTCTGGTAACATTTACTACAATAATGAATATCTAAAAAAAAGTGTTTTTGGCTGCAGCACCTTTTCAGTGTCCAGAGTGTTTGTTTCCACAGCAGTTTGTCTCCTGATGTTGATTGGATGCTCACTTTTGTGTTTCGCAGACAAACTCCTCCTCCCTGTGAGGGTCTCAGAGATCTCAGAGCGACCATTTTCCTCCAAAGGTTCATGTCGCTGTAATCCAGGCTGCAGAGTTTATAAAGTTCAATAATCCTACTTAACGCTACTGATCAGAAGCTTCATTTGTGATTAAGAGTTGATCAGATTTCTGAAGGTCACCAGGTCAGGTGTTTCACTTACATTTGACCTTCCCCATCGTCCACGTGTCCCGTCACTTCCCCACCCTCAGGTTCTCGTCTCTCGCTGGTTCTCCTGAAAACATCTGAGGGTTCTCCGTCAGAGTCGCTCGCACCTTTTTCTTCTCCTTGAACCTCCCAGAGTGAGACACCTTCATATGGCGCCCTTTGCTGGCCGTCGATTTGTCCACGATCCGCTCCAGCCGGGTGTCCAGATGAGTGTCCTCAGGGCTGCCAGGACCTGATGCCGGGGCTGAGGCGTGCTGGGCTGAGGGGGAGTTTGAGATGAAGTCTGCAGGGATTTCATACAGAACTTTAGGCTGAGACTTTTTTCTTCTCAGGAAAGTGAGCTTCCACCAGCTGAGGGACGAGTCGGCCATGATGGATGGATGGATGGATGGAGGGCTGAGGAGAGAGGAGAGAAGGGAGAGGCGTGAAGTCAGCAGAAGAAATCTGAAATGGGAGATCATTTATGCTCTAATGTTGGATCCAGAACAACCTGAACTTTAATGAGGTCCCAACCACAGACTGAACTGTATAAAGACATGGACACACCCACCATGACTCACCTGGTTAACTCTGACCTGCAGCTGGCGTGCAAACCTGCAGCACGATTACCTGTCCCAGCTGAGCAAACAGAGACTGAACCTCATTGTTGAATGTTTCTTTTCTTCTCTGTGAGTCTCATAAAGATCTGAAACTCTCCGTTTACCCGGTTTTGTTCGTCTCTCTTTGTGGTTTGTGGTGACTCTGCTGGCTGTGAGAATAGACTTCTATCAGAGGGAGGGATGGATGCTGCTGCTGCCAGTGTAAAACTTAAAGCATCCATGTGATGTCTCTTCCTTTGTTTTCTAGGAGTTTTTGTTGAACCTGCTGCAAACCAAATCCCCTCTCAGGACCAGCAGAGTCAAAACACTTTAGAAATGACCTCAAGTTTAAGTTTCTCCTCAGAGGTTTTCTTTCTGCAGAAGATTTAGTGCTTCAAAGACGGACCTCTTTAAACACATAGTCGTATTTTACTCTCATTTTTAACAGGGTTGACATGAAATCAGGGGACGCCGATAAATTGGTAAATATTTATAATGGCTAATATATATTATCACCAAAAAACACAGTTTAACAATAAGATCATACTTAAGACAATATGTAAATGTAAAAATTTTAACATTTTTCCAACATTTTACAAATTAAAAGTCCTGTATACATACAGCAATAGTAGTGAGGGACAGGCCAAAAACCTCCCCCTCATCAGCACAAAAGTAATTTATATTATTTAAAATGATATTTAATTGACTTTAATTTGATGTCATATTAAGGAGAGAAGACATGGTAATATTATTTTTTAAAATTACATATTAATTTGTTGTTATTATAATTTTATGAATGCTTACTTCTTGGGGACGCAAAAGGCACCGATTTCATGGAATGACCCGAATGCAACAAACTTTCGTTAGATTTCATCTCTAATTCTGGTGTTTTTTTAATGTTTAGTTAAACAGTTTTGAAGGGAGCTTAGCGCCCTCTGCTGAACCACCTGAGCATCGACGCCAGTCTGACTGCTGTTTGCTGTTCTCTACACGGTGTGTAGAGTTGTTAAAACGCCTCAAAATAAGCTCGTTTTTCTTGGTAAAAGTGCATCTTATCCACAAAATACGTTTGAAAAAATCTTCAAGTTTAATATGAAACATTTTTCTAACACTTTAACTTTGTTTTGGATTAAATTCAGTTCATAACTGTTGTCATCTTTTGCTAGCTAAACCTCGTCAGGTAGCAGCTAACCGACGGAGATACACGTCTTTTTTCGTGTATTTCGGGAACAGTTGGAGATGTTATTTTCGCAAAAGTGGCCGTCAAAAGTTTTCTACTTTTCTGTTATTTCAGAATAAACGACCTGTTGGCGCCTAAAGTGAGTGTTTATGAAGTGTTTCACTCAAAGCGAGAAAGAGTGTGAAGACTTCCGGACTACATGAGGATGATGATGATGATGATGATGGCGGACAGGTGAGTGCTGCAGAAGTTACTCAAGTAAATTTATGAGGAATTACTGTGAAATTTGGTGGAAGCAGGTCAAAGTTTGTTCCAGTTTCTTCCTCCATAAAGTGAATCAGCCTCCTCTTCAGTTCAGACCCTCACTCAGTCTAACTCTGAGGTAAACAGAGAACTACCAGCTGATGTTAAACTGTTCCCATGAGCCTCAGCTCTTCTGTTTCCTGCAGATGTTAACAGTCAGTATGTTAATGCTGCCTCTGTGGACAGGAGATCAAGATGAAACCAGTCCTCTCAGATTCCTGCAGCTCACATGCAAAGGAGGAGGTCAGATTTGGAGATGACTCATTAGCTTTTCAAATCCCAAAATGACACAATTATCTGTAAAGGTCAAGTGTTTTTGCATAATTAGTGATTATGTTACGGCGCCACTACACAGACGTGTTCACAGACAGTGGCTTTGGTTACAGGGAAGTATTTGATATGTCGATTATAGCAGACAATAACCTTCTGATAAATATAACCTCTGAATGGAGTCACACCACACCTTGTTGCAGCTTAAACTGAAGGGTAGGTGTGTGAAAATGTCTTCAAGAGGTGCAGTTTATTCCCTTCAAACAGACGCCTCCCAGAAATTAACACACATCTTAGTTTTGAAATTTAGTGCATGTTTTTTTTGTTAATTTACACAGAAGAAAAAGAGTTATTTATGCTCTTCAAGTCGCATTTATGATTATACTTCAACCAGCAAGCTTCTGTAAAGATGCTACTGTAATGATGCTCAATGATACAAACTGCTCCCTGATATTTTAAACCTCAGACCGCCGTCTAATCAGAGTCAGAACTTGAATAAAAACATTTGTTCACCTCTCACCTCTGGATCTATGATGAAGCTGCAGACTCACCTCTTTAAAGATGAGGTCCACCTCAGCAGGTCTCAGGATTAATGTCCAAAGTCTTCAGTCTGATAATCTTCATCCAGCCTCCTCTGTCCTGCTGAAAGTTCAGGTTTTCTGTCACAGATTGGACATGTCTTAAATCTTTCAAGTGTGGCTCACCTGCAGCAGGTCAGTTAATGATAAACCGCCTGGAATTAAAGTCTCACCTGACGGTTTTGAGTCCCAGAGGAAAGTCCAGAATCCTCATCCAGAGCTGTCGCATCGATACAGTGAAATCAGTAAACAGACGACCGGATACAGGATCCTAAATCAGACTCTGGGGTTAGAGGTTCACAGGTGTGATCGACTCCTCACCTGCAGGCTGCTCTTTGAGGGTCAATAATCTGCAGAAGTGAAAGTGACGCTGAGTTGATAAGATGAGTACAGATACTGTCCCTCTGACTCTCTCCTCTGTCCCTCTCCTCTCAGGTGCTGAGCTACACCTGTGCTGTGACTGGCTCCTCCCACTGACCCACAGAAACACACGTACACAGCTAACTATCCAGGTGAGGACTCACTTTAACCTGGTAATACTGACTATAAAGTGGTAGCTGTGAAACTGACTGTGACAGCTGCACAAGCACCTGATCAAAGTCTGCTCACCTGAAGGTCTTGTTTTGGTCAGGATCCCTGCAGAGTCAGGGCTTTTTCTTAGTAAAGATGATGCTTTATTAAACCAAAATGCTGCTTTTTAAATACCCACCAAACTCCATTGATAAAAGCTGCATTTTTATCCCAGAGAACATCAGAGTAGCTCGTCTACTGGTTTATAAATTTGTTATTTTTCATCACATAAACGTTTCAAGGACTTAAACTCGCCATTCAAAACACTCACAATAACACAAACTAACCACAGTATCAATTAGGAAATTAGATTTTTTTCCCTCTTTAATCATCTAAAAAAGTGAGATTGTCTTAAATTTGTGGTTTAGTGAACAGAGACGACATGTAATTGTTGTGTTTACGATATCAGCTCTGGAAATAGACCAGAGATAAATCTTATTACACCTGCCCCTTAAGGACAAAGTTCTCTGTGATGGTTAATGACTTAATTTCTTTACAATCGTGTTATTTTTGTTATGATGGAGGGAGGCTATCATCGTCGTTCAATCAGAGGCTGTATCTGTGATCAGCTGACAGACTTTGGTAGTTTCTTATAGTCAGTTCAAAGAGAGAGGTCGTGAAAACAGGGTAGTGCTGTACTAGGTAGGGCCTGACCGATTTATTGGTGAGCCAATTAAATCGGCCAATTTTAGCCCGTTTGAGACTAATCAGTAATCTGCCAAAACTAGCAGATTGTCGCCGATATTTTCAGACATAAAACGCTTTTCTGGTCCGAGTTTAATTCATGATAAATATGTAGAATATTACTGAGACGATCAGTCGGTCTTCCTGTCGGCGTGAAGAGCAGTCGCCTACAGTATATCGAGTGTTCCTCATTTTGAGTTGAAAGTTAACTTAACTGTTTACACTTTACGTAAAATACCTTATCCTTTTTCGGTTGTTTCAGCAATAAAAAGGATTTGAAATGAGTTTTCTGCCTTTAATTCTTTGAAAAAGTGTTAAACTTAATGAAAAAATTTTATGAATTAATCGGTAATCGGATCTTTCCCCCTAATAATCAGTATCGGCACCGGCCCCAAAAAATCTGTATCGGTCTGGCCCTAATATTAGGGTCATTACGGTAAAAGTAAGAGGCAGAAGTTGATCAACAACTTTTTTGAGCTGAAGTTCTGATGGACTCTTGTGGCTCATATATACGCCTTTAATTTAGAGAAAGCAGTCAGGTCGACGAGTCATTATGTGACTCACTCTGTCGTTTGTTTCTCTGCACTTCGCTGACGCTCTTAAAGTCGTCAGAGTCGATGGTTAACCACATATCTTGGCGTCATCTCTCCTGAATGAACTCTTGGTGGGGATTTTCCGGCTGTAAATGAGTGACGGTGCTGCTGCATGAATTCATATCTGAGAGTGTTTCAGGAAGTGGGACAGAAGTTAATGAGTGACTGAGTTCATATCTGCTGCGTGGACACAACAACACAAACAACATGATCCACACTGACTCTAAAAACAGGGTCCCACATATTCAGATCTCTGAACACTTTTTCATTTTCTTAACTGAACGAATATTTAAGAGCTTCACAGGTTAACATTTCTAAACCGAGAGGAACCGCGTCTGTGGAGCGAATGTTTTCAGGAGACAGAGGGACGCAGGTCATCGCTGAATTAATCCAAACACTGCCGTCATGTAAAGCTGTTAAACTCGAGCTTTGCACCGAAATCTGGAGATAAACGGTCATAAATCCTCTCATTATCTCAGTCTTTCTATGATATTATAATTGAGAAATAAAGACCATTAGATGTGTAAATAAAAATATTTTCTCTTATATGTAAATAAAAATGTTTAATTGTTGTTTCAGTCATTAGATTGGTTAATAAAGTGGGTCATGAATCTGCAGGAGTTTTGCTGGGATGAGAGCGTTAACTCTTCGTCTGCTGGTGTACAGAGAAAAAAAGAGCTTCATGTAAATCAGAGACAGAAGTACAGCTGCGATCTTAATCAATAAAACTTCATCTCTCTGTAACCAAATCGACTAGAGGATCACTAATCTGTGTGTGGGGACAGAGAGCCGGCTGCTCTTTGCTCCTTTGTCTCCGTTTCCTGTATTTAAATGAACCTGGGAAAGGATTTACAGACTGAGATAAGAGCCAGGGACTGAAACTGAAACCACAAAGAGATTATCATCAAAAACAGATAAAAATTATATACTTTTATACATCATAAAGAAAATATATAAAGATGTTATCTGAGGAATCTTAAAGCTAAACTCAAAGTTTATCAGGATAAAAACAATGAAATATTTGATTTAAAGATCTACTTTAATTTTTAAAACTTCCTTTAATAAGTGAGTGAGAGAATAAAAAGCCAAAGCACTTTAATCAGGATCATTTATTATTACTGTTGAAGTGTCTCCTGATGATGGCAGTGATGCTGGTTTACGGGTGAAACATCGCCATCATGTGGTCATGAACTGACTCTACACCACCTGCTGGATTTACAGTGTAGAGAAAAAGTGACCAGAGTGAAACGACTCCATCGAGAAACACAGAAAGTTATTTGTCATTCAGAAGTTTAAATTTAGTTTTAATGAACTGAGGCAGGAGTCTGTGGCATAGGTCCTCTCCTGTTCTTGGTTTCAGACTTCTGTTGTGGACAGGCTCAGGTCCAGAGAAGTCTCTGGTGGTTCTGGATCCTGGTTCCATCTGGTTTCCTCTTTCCTGGTAATGATGCAGTGATGATCTGTGTTCACAGTCAACGGTGTTTGAAGTGATGCAGCATCTAGGATTTCCAGTTCTTCGTTGAAAGGACAACTGGACTTACTTGAGAGACGTCTCAAGTAAGTCCAGTTGTCCTTTCCATGCAGTGATTCCCACTCCAGAGTCCTTTCTGTTTTTAATGCCCTGAAGATCAGAACCATCCACTCCTGGTTCTGGTTCTGGTCCCTTTAGTACAAAGATTTCTCCAGATCCTCTGAATCTTTGACTGATGTTATCTTCTGTAGACGATGAAATCCACTCAGGAACTTCGTTCTGAAACTCTTGAACTGTTCGCTCACACAGTCTCTCACAGAGTCCTGAACCTCTGAGAGACTCAGGTCCGATCAGGCGAGTGTGTAGGGGGCGGTTTGGGATTGGGCCTCAGCCTCTCTGAATATCCGTCTTCAGACCCGGTCATGTGACCAACCTGTTGGACATTCACCTCCATATTAGTTGGAGACGTTCCTCCAGATGTTTGTTTAGCATTTTAACTTTTGACCTGTTTGTTTGGTCCTCTATAAGAACTTTGAGTTTTTACTTTTAAATAGTTGATTTTGTGTTTGTTTAAAAGCTTGTTTAAAGTCACAGTTTCCATTTTTACTCTCTCTCTCTCTCTCTCTCTCTCTCTCTTTCTCTGTTTGTCTGATCATGATGTTAAACACAAATTTAACTCACGACCACGTCCTCCATATTCATCCCTCCTCTATTCTCCTCTCTCTCATCCTTTCCTCTGCTGCGTTTCTCTCCATCATCCCTCTCTCCCTCTCTCTCTCTCTCTCTCTCTCTCTCTCTCTCACCCCCCACCCTCTCTCTCTCTCCTGTGTCATATTTCTCCATTAGGCAGGATTTTAACCACCTCTTGTATCTGCTATTAAAGAAAGTTCTGCATCGTTTACCACAGCGTGTTATCAGTCACTGTCACAGAGCTGCAGCCTTCACACACACATGCACACACACACACATATGTATGCACACACACTTGTACACACATGCACTCACACACGTTAGTATTTGCATATATGCCTGGATGGATAAAGATACAGTAACACAGGAGCACCACACCCTTCTTCGAGCTTAAATCCACCTTCTATATCACCACACACACAAACACACAAAGACACTCTGCAGCATCCAGGATCCATTTGTCACCGTGGTAACGCCTGGCTGCATCAGAGAGGAGAGAGAGAGCGGAGAGAGAGAGAGAGAGTCAGAGGAGGAGGAGGAGGAGGAGGAGGTGGGGTTATGGGGTTAAGGATGGAGGTGTGGAAACAAGGAAGGAGAAAGAGGATGGAGGGAGGACTGGGAGGAGGAGAGAGACGCTGTCATTAGTCCTCTTTAGCTTCCATTATGAAGATTAAAGTGAAGATTGTCTGTTTGACTTAACCCTTTACACTCCGCTGCAGAGACCCTCGAAGACAAACACGAAAAAAATCTGCAGGAAAGAGCGAAATAACGAGTCTGAAAGGAGCTCAAAAGTGACAAATTTTCTAGAAATGTTTGAAAAGAGTTGCAGGTTTGCGCCACGTTGCACAGACAGAGGCCAATCGGAGTGATATCGAGTCATAAAGATGCACAAAAGAGGAGAAATACATGTGTAAATCACTAATTATCATTTTAAAACACTGAAAAACAGACGCATGTTGAAGAAAACTCAGACAGAAAACAGCCCAGAGAAAACAGACTGGTTAATGAAAGGATTCAGGTTTCTGCCAAATCTGCAAACTTCAGCAGCTCTGCAGTGAGAGTTACCAGAAGATCAAATTTAAACGATTTTAGTTTTTTAAAAAGTGTCTTTAAAGGATGCTCCAAAGTCACAATAATGAAATATAAACCTGAAAAATTTAGATGTAAAAAAACAAACAACTAACAGTTACTGTCACTTAAACTCAGCTGAACATGGACCCTCCACATCATGTGCTGAGGCAGTTTCTCCAGCAGAGGGCGCTGTAGTGATTTAATCTCCCACTGAAAGACTGTTATTTTCTCTGGAGGACAAACCAAATATCACCCGAGTGTCTTTGTGGAGACTAAAGATCAAACTCTCTGAGGAAGAAAAAAAACGAGAGAAAATCTCGATTCAACTCTTGGTGGTGTTTCCATCTGTCTCATGTGACTGTGTGCAGACTGCAGTGTGATGTATCGTCCCTGTTATCAGTGTGAGAGCGTCTCATTCATTCTCATCAAGTCACCTTCGTATTCATCCTCCTTTACTCCTCAGTGTCCGAGTTAATACGTGATATCATGAGGGAAATCAGAGGACACACTCAAACAGGCTCAGAGCTTCATCCTGGTCCTAAACTTTAGAGTTTTTAAAACGTGATCGTTTAACGCTGAAAGCAGCAAAAATCAAAATTAAGGTTTCCTCCAGTGAAGAGACGACAAGACGACAGTTTCGTTATTGTTAAACAGAAAATATTAAACATTTAAAGACTGTTTTATTTTATCTTTTTTTAAAATTCCTATTTCTTGGTTAATTTTAATGTGATGAAAACAAAAATGAGTTAAAATTTTACATTATTACCAAGAAGCTGTGAGTTAAAGTACAAGAGAAAACAGCAAAACAGGATATAAAAAGTCAAAATATATATATTTTTTTCTGGTGAGTATGGAAGCCCTGGAGGTCACAAATGTTACCAAAAATGCAAACATAATTACTGAGGAACAAAAAAAAATTAGATAACACATCAAATCTCATGAAATGCAAAAACAGGAGCTAAAAAATAAAAACAAGAATATTTAATAAAGGGCAAAAAATAAATCAAGAACAAATATTTGTTCAACCTTAAAAAAATTGTTAAAACATCACATCAAAACTTAGGTGCTGATTCACGCTAAGAAATATAAATGAAATAAAAAGAAAATAATTTTTTCTTGATAAAAAAAAACTTTTATTATTAAGTTACTATTAAGAGACAAAATAAAAGTCAAAATTTCATTCTGTTTTGCCATAAGTCCAGAAAAGTATGGTGGCCCTGAAGGTTAACTGAGAATTATTATATAAAAAGCAAAAACAGTTTGTAATGTGAAAAATATTTCAGATCGAACAGAAAACATTTTTTGTTTCATAACAAGCAAAAAAAAAATCATTTTAAAGCATTAGGTGAATTTAAAAAAATGCAAAAACATTTCTTTATGATAAATTCCATGAGATTAAGAATTAAACAAAAAAGCAAAATATTTTACAGACCAATAAAAACATTTGAAAGATTAAAAAATGTTTTTTATAAGACACAGAGGTGATTTAGAAACTTTAAATATTTTGGGAAATGCAAAAACATGAAAAACAAAGTATTTTATCGAAAATATTTCAAACCCAAAATTTAAATGAGACAAAAAAACAAAAACAAGAAAAAAACAAAACAAAACATTTCCCAATCCCCCAAAAATCTAAAAATCACTCTGAGTGAAACCTTTGTTCTGTTCAGTTAATTTTGTCTTTTTTTTTTAATACTTCTAGAGAAACAATCTCCTAGTTTGCCTTTAGGGCCACCGTAGAATTGACTGTTTTTGGTTTAAATGATTGAGTTTGTGGGCGAAGCTTAATTTATTCTCTTCTGATTCCAACCTTTGAGTTTATTTTCTAGTTTCTGTGAATGTATTTCAGAACTTTTGACTTAATTCAACCAAATTTATAGTCAGTTTAATTAGTGAAGTAATTACTTTAACACTTATTTAATATAAACACACTGGAGCACATTTAGACCCTTTCTTACATTTTTTACCAAAGCAAGTTGTTTTCCTGTTTTTTTACACAGTCAGTGTTTTAAGATGTTAAATTTATTTTTCAGCATTTATTTAAAAACTGAAAAAACTCCAGTGAGATTCAGTTTTAGTGGAAATGTTCTTTTAGAGAGAGATTCAGGTTCGAGCTTCATTCTCATACATTCATTAGTCCACTCGCCTTCCTGAGAGCACACGTGTGCACACAGAGGGCAGGCTCATCTACATATAAGGAAAACAGCAGAGTTACACACACACACACACACACACACACACACACACACACACACACACACACACACACACACACACACACACACTCAGACCACACGATGATACATCTTGAGGATGTGCTGCAGATTGAGATTTAGATCTTTCTCTCTCTCTCTCTCTCTGGACTCTTTCCTGATTTGTCTTCAGTCTGTTTCTCATGCATGCAAATACAAATGTCTGCATACATCCATAAAAACAAGTACGCACACACACACACACACACACACAGAGTAACACATACACACATGCTCACACACTTGAGGTCCTCTCTTTAATGTAAATCAAATCTCTGTTGGCCGCTCAGCTTCGTCTTTGTAGCTTTATGCAAATCAGCCGTTAATAAACGCTGCCTAATGAATTCATTACATGCTATCTGACATATGCACACACACACACACACACTGAACACACACACACACTGAACACACACTTTCACCTGACATGATTTGCATAACAATAGGCCTGCTTTGGCTCCGTGTTACACCTCATTTAAACACAAGGATAATACAGCTGAGTGTTTTACATAGTGATGCAGGCCGACTTGATTTAACCGGAGGTTGTTCGTACGTCCAGAGTGTCGCTCGTGTTTATTTAGAGACATTTATTTAGAAACACGTGAACTACACGCTGCTTTTCAGTGACGTTTATTCCACCTTTGTGTCGTGTTATTTTTGTGCGTAAATGTGGACGTTGGTGATGTCTGGAAGTATGATTTGATTTGTGTGAGATTGGAGACAAGCTGAGCTAAAGTAGACAGCTGCTCAGCTCGCAGCCCCACCAAGGAGAGTCAAAGAAACTCGGTTTAAATATAAAAGTGTCCATGTTTAAACATGCAGGTATTTTCCTTATCAACTGCAGGTTTAATAAGAAGAAAAGCTAATATTTTTAAAGCTGCAGCTCAGCTCGCAGCCCCTCAGACTGTCAAAAAAACTCATTTTTTTATATAATATCTTTGCAGGTTTAGGAGAGTGTTTTTATTACAATGAACTGAGCTTTCATTTTTCATCTTTAAAGCTGCGGCTCAGCTCGCAGCCCCTCAGACTATCATAGAAACTGTTTTTAAAATAATATCTTTGCAGGTTTAGGAGAGCGTTTTTATTAAAATAAACTGAGCTTTATTTTTTTATCTTAAAAACAACAGCTCAGCTTACAGCCTCTCAGACTGTCAAAAAAACTAATTTTTTTAATATAATATCTTTGCAGGTTTAAAAGAGCGTTTTTATTACAATGAACTGAGCTTTATTTTGTATCTTTAAGCTGCAGCTCAGCTCGCAGCCCCCTCTGATGTTTCTGCTAAAGAGCGTCAGACTAACCCTGATTAGTAATGAAAACTGCATTATTGAATATTTCTGCTGCTGACAATTCTCTCCAAAGAGGTGTACAGCTCTTAAACAGCAGGACGGACATCATTTAGGCTTCTTTATAATCTACAGATACATTTAATTTAATGTGTAAAAATCCATAAAGAATTAATTGTGAGTCTAAAAAATGATGCATGGGTAAAAGAGCCTTTTATTTTCCACAGGTCAGAGGTCATAATAAATGATCCTCACAGAAACAGAGGACAGGAGAGACATTAGGATAAATGCAAAGGAGGAAAAAAAGAAATTATCATGGAAATGGAGGCGCTGCAGGCGATATCACAGAGGAATACATTGATGTAGTTTATCCAGACAACACTGTGGTCCAGGTCAGTGTGTGTGTGCGTGTGTGTGTGTGTGTGTGTGTGTGTGCCCCTAATGAATGTGATTTTTCATGCTCTCTCTTTGTGTTGGCCGTCAGTTTGTTTGTATTATCATAAAGAAATAACCCGTGTTGTTCTCGCTGTTTCATGCATTTATATTTTAATTTTCTGCTTTCTGAGCACACACACACACACACACAGATGTTTTTTCTTTATTCATAAATTTTATTTAGATTTATCGATTATGTCCACCTTGTCAAATACTGACACATAAAAACACTTAAAATCGCTCCTTTTAAAGCCGCCGCTCCATTTTCATGTTGCTCCAGATTTTTAACTCAGTTTTAAGGTTTTGTAGGACGTGTTTGTTAACAGTGTCTGGTGGCCTTGAGCAGAGCGGTTCAAAGGTTGTTTCCGGCCTAAAATGAAACAACGTCCTCTTGAACTAAAAGGTTTATTTCTGAAGGGATCCTGTAAAAATAACAGTCTGAGAACTTTGAGCGGACAGACTTTGACCCAGTTTGTTTGCAGCCGTCTGAGTCCTGACACTTTATCTCGGTTTGGACGATGAGGAGCTCAGCTGAGTGTAATTTCACTCAGACTAATGTGTTTACATGTTTTTTAAAAGTCCACCTGGGAAAAAGGCAGATGATCTGAACCATCGTCATCAGGAGAAACGTCCAAAACAAACATGACAGTGGAAACATGCTGCAAAGAAAAAAACCTGAACTTTAATAACAACAAACGCACAAAAACTCAGATAATGTAAATGAATCTGAGTGTTTGGTGGAAGTTCTTCAGATCTGTAGGAGACCAAGTTTAACAGCTTTATCACTGACAGACCAGAGAAGAAGAGCTGACACTAACCGCACTGTTCAGATGGAAAACCAGATACTTAGAGATCAGGGAGTAACTGTAGAGGGGCTGAACTGGATCAGGACTCTCCTAATGGTGAAGAAAAGGTGTGGATGTCAGGAGTAATGTGGTCTTCATCTCAGGAGACCCGAGCAGAGGGTCTGTGAGGCCGAGGACTTGTGTTTTCTGAGCCTCAAAGTCAGAGTCAGCTCAGTGGTTATTTGTCGGGCTTTGTTTCGACCATCTCAGGGCAGATTTGGATTTTTGGACATGTTTCTGAAGTTGTCATTTCTGCGTTAACTGCGAAGGTCACCTGGGTCGTTGTAGATCTTCTGTAAAGTTCCTCCAGATCGTGTCAGCGGTCAAACAAGAAGCTGTTTGAGTTCCCGTTTCAGTCCAGAGTCTGTTTTTATTCGTAGAAACTCATTTAATCCACGTGTTATTCTAAGTCTCACTGTTTAACCCCAGTGCATGTTGGGAGCCCACAGGGACGGGCCAATCAGGAAGCAGTAAGGCCACGGGCGCTTCCTGTGAGCAATCAGCGTCACTCAGGTGTGATGGATGGATTTGACACACACACACACACACACACACACACACACACACACACACACACACACACAGAGTGGTTGAAGTTAAACAGCGCTCCGTGTGTGTGACACTGTCATCCATTACACTAAAGCAGGAGTGTGTTAGTCCAAACCTGAGACTGCACAGACCTTCAGTGTGTATTTTTTAATGTCGTCATTTAAATTCATTTAAATTCTCTTTTTTTTATTCCTTCACTCTTTTTTTTCTTCATTTAGAGAAACTTTTTTTCACTCTCCTCTAGTCTGCAGATTCAGGACTGCTGACACCCCCTTTTAGTGCTCGGCCATTTTGAGTGTTTTTAGTGTTTAGCTCTGCTATTTTAAGTGACTAAAACTGCAGTTCCTCAAGTGTCCACTAGAGGCTGTCCCCTAAAGCGGTTCTTAAAAAATCTCTAAATGTCTAAAATCCAATAATTTGAATTTAAGACCTTAAAGTGTTTAAAATCTTATAAAATGTCTTAAATGCGATTTTCAAAGGTCTTAAAAATATGTTAATCTACCTACAATACATAAAAGATAATAAAGATTGATTTGAAGTAAAATGAAATGCTCAGATTTACTTTTATGTCTTTTGTATTTTTTGCCTTTATGGATGTTGAATAGGTCGTAACTTTTATTCATCACGGTCTATAAAAAGTCTTAAATTGGACCTGTTGAAACCTGCAGAGACCCTGACGTGAGTCAGAGCCCCACATTAGGATGTCCAACATGCTCACAGCCTGATCTTTTCAGCTCATTTCTCAGTATTTAACTCACCTGTTTGAGTCTCATTCAAACTTAGTGATCTATAATTAGGGGCGTGGCCTCTTTGACTGACAGGTGGGAGCTGGGCTTCACCTCTATGTCAGATTTTTCTGATGTAACTTCGTGGATCGCTGGTCAGGACAGTCATGATCTGTCTTACAGGATCTCAGTCGTCAATTATCAATATTGTTTTTTTGTTTCAGATTCTTAAATTACCGAAGACTCTGTAGTTTCATTTTAGCACAGTTCGTTTCTAAGTGCTGCTGAATTTTACGAACTGCACCTTTAAGTCAGTACATTTACATGATGTCCGAAAAACAATTAGTTTCATCAATCCTGAAACTGGACCTTTACAAACATAGACTGTATCTAGAACAGACGCCGTCTGCCTCCTCGCTGGGTGAAGCGAGAACAGCGCCCTCTGGTGACGGGCTGCAGTATATGTCATAAACCCCGCCTCCTTATGGAGCTGTGGACAGACTTTATAAATGAATGACTCAGAATATAAATGTTTCTCCCCCCTGGTTGTGATGTTGACCTGTAGTTACTGTCAGACTGGTTTGTGTTCAAGTCCTCTTTTTTCTGTACAGCTCCATTTTTGAAAGTTATTAGGGGGTTCATGTTTTCTATGATTGACACCTGATACAGCCTATGGGAGGACAGAGATTGTGTTTGATACACTGTTTGAGCCGAGCATCATCACAGCGACTCTCAGAGACTCTCCTGCTGAATACGTACAACACTACTGCGCAATGTTGGTTTCAGGAAATGGAGAAAAAATGCGGAAATACTGTTTACAACATGTCAGTATGTTAATGTGACTGAATGGACCTTCTCATAGCTGGACTGACAGACCCAGTTTGTGCAGTTAGGATCAGTTTTCTTGAGCTGAACCTGGACTCTGTTTCTGCTCCAGTTTTTTCACGCTGTGAGATGAACTGCATTAATGCCAAGACGCTTGGTAGTAAATAAAACCTCAACAGAAGGAGGTTCTGACCCGTGTCTGACTCTACACCACATATATATTCAAAGTTATGGAGCCCGGCTGTTCAGACTATCATGAACGTCAGATTTGAGTCACATGATAAGATCGGAGTCCCTTCGGTGTGAACGTGTTTGTTTCTTTTTTACAGAGTAAAGTTTGAGATTATTAAATCATCTGAGAATCAAACCGACAGCAGACAGGGACGGCCTTTTCTTTCTTCAACAGTTTGAAGTGAAGCTCATTTATTAAAAATTATAAAACATTTCAGGTTTGAGTCGGACTCGGAGATCATTAAACAATGTGACACTCGACAAATACAGCTGCTCTCTCATCCTGTCTGCACCGCCGCGCCTCAAACTTTCACTTCAGCGATGAACTTGAGCTCATTAATTTCTCGAACATGTGTTAAACTGCTCACATAAATATATTTGAGCTGCTCACCTGCTGTGTGTGTTTGATTACTCATTAAAGAAATGATGAAGAGTGATCGGGCCGCTGCGGCGCCACGATAACACGCCCCTCATGTTTCTCCCTCTGCCGCCGCCATTAATATGAAACTCTGATAGTAAAATTATATTTAAATTGTACCTGCATTTTTTAAAGTCTGCTTCCTTTGTGGGGATGGAGGTATGTGTATGTGTGTGTGTGTGTGCATGCGTGTGTGTGAGGCTGTTAACGCTGCGAGCCGCTGAATGAAACGGCGTGGGGAGTCGGTGAGTGCAGATAAAGCCCTGCTCATGTATCAGCCTGCTCACCTGTCTGCAGCCAGACCGCCATAATGGATCGACACGAGCTGCAACCATCACTCATACTCACACCGGCTGCTCCTGCAAGTGTGTGTGTGTGTGTGTGTGTGTGTGTGTGTGTGTGTGTGTGTGTGTGTGTGTGTGTGTGTGTGTGTGTGTGTGTGTGTGTGTGTGTGTGTGTGTGTGAGAGAGAGAGTGAGAAAGAGAGAGAGAGAGAGGACAAGAGAGAAAGGAGGAGGAACAGTGTGTGTGCTTTGGTGGAGGGAGGGAGTGATTATATGTCTGCATGGGTGCATGACAGAGACAGAGTGTGTAGCTCTGTGTCTGTGTGCGTGTGTTCATGCATGTGTGTGTGTGTGTGCATATATGTGTGTGTGTGTGTGTGTGTTCCTGTCTGTCTCTGTCATTTTGATTGATATTTCCAACACTGACACCATCTTAGTAAAACAGTCTCTCTCTCTCTTCTATCTTTCCATCTCTCTCTATTCTCACTGTGTGTGTGTGTGTCTGTGTGTGTGTGTGTGTGTGCGTGTGTGTGCGTGGGAGGAAAGGGTTATGGGAAAGGGTCATCCCTGGACGTCGGTGTGACGGACAGCTGGCAGGGCTCTGTCTCAGTAGGAGGTCGAGTTGAGCTGTCAATCAAAAAAAAGACAAAAAATGAGGCAGGGCTTTTATTTTGAAGGGCAGAGGGCTTTTATTGTTGGAATGTACGTCTAAGAATTTATACTCTCTTAAATTTAAGGACCTGTCATATTGAAGTCAAAGCAGATACCTTACAGTAGACCTGCATTCTTACTAGTGTCCAGCAGGGGGCGATATGCAGATAATCGAGTAAACGTTTTCCTGATGAGTTCATTGTCTCACTTCCAAATTCCACCACATCCGGAACGTCTACAAAAAGGTCGTATCCTCCGATCTTAGCTGATCGTAACCATTCAAGTTAACGTGTCAATTTCCACCGACTTCTTTCCGTTCCTCTGCGGATCGCCGGACTCACTGCAGGAGCCTCATTTGTCCACAGAGCTGTCAATCATTTCTACATCATAAAATAGCTAATTCACACTAACACATATCTGCATGAGAAGAACGAACTTTAATAACAGGAACTGCAGGAGAAATGCTCTGTGTTTTAATGATACACCCATGTTCCATCTGCTTACATGGAGAGGCGGAGCTTATGACCTGTACTGCAACCAGTCAGTAGGGGGAGCTCTTCATGTTTAGGCTTCACTATCAGGGGAATGTCACATCATCTACGATTTCTTATAAATTTAGTTTACCTAGTTCATCATTTTTTAATGTTTCATGTTGTTTGAATCTTTATTTATTTATTTGTGAATATTTATTTCTAATATTTTGCACCGAGCAGGGGGACGTTCCTCGTATTTGGCAGATTATTTACATTCATTATTGGACGTTAACACTCGTTATGATCCGACTCTGCTTCTTCAATAATGAACTGAAGTAGATTTACCTCCTTAAAGACGTTTAATGATTTATATTTGCGGATGAAATTTACGAACATTCATCCTGGAGAACAGCAGACAGACTCTCCTTGTTTTAAGCCAGATGCCCACATGTCCTCCTTTTTTTCAAACAACAGGGATCGTTGCCATGCCGACCCTTGGGACCTGACCTCCCCAGGGGTGAGAGGTCATCCTCCCAGCCTGCTGCTGTTGCCACAGTGATGAACGGCATCCTGAGAAGTAAGTGTGAGAGTGTGTGTGTGTGTGTGTGTGTGTGAGGGGTGAGAGAGTATTTATGCATCTGCCAGAACCTCTGACTGTGTGTGTGTGTAAGTGTGTGTATACGTGTGTGTATCTTTGTTCTCGATCAGTCATAATCTGGAATAGACTCCTGATAATTTCATTAGAATATTACAATCTGATTATGAGACAGCAGCAGGTCTGTGTGTGCAGACGGGCCACACACAGAGCAAACACACACACACACACTAACACACTAACACACACACTAACACACACATGCACGGATCTGCAGGACACCATGTACACATCTGAGACGCTCTCCCAGACCAACAGAGGGCTCCTGTATCTGCGTCTCCTGGGGGTCAATTTGCCTCAGGCCACAGGAACGACATCACCGCAGAGGTCAAAGGTCATGACACTGTGGGTAGAAGTGGGGTGTGTGTGTTTGCGAGTGTCCCACATAGAAACAGAGATGGAGGAGCCTCAGCTGAAGGATGGTGTCGGTGCAGAGACGTCGTGTTAATGTGTTTTTGAAAAGATGAAGTGAGATCTAGGTGTGCGGCTCTGTGCTTGTGGCCTGCCTGAACTAACTCTAGTCTCTGTGATGCTTTTGTACACCCTCTATTATCACACCCGCACCTCAGACCAACAAGAGTTCCCCGTCCTGACCTCTGCCTCATCAGATCTGAATCTTAAATCCGTTTATTTTCATCGCTGTCGTTCAGCCTCACTTCAGAGACGGAGAAAATGACAATATTTTGAAACTTTTCTCAGGATTAAGTTCGTAGTTTCTCCTCTCCAACTTTCACCAATCACCAGAATATTCCTGCAACAATAAGTGCAACACGATGTCGTTCTGCGTCCGATATCAGCCGAAAACAACGAGGAACAGAGAGAAACACACATTCATTCTGCTCAGAGGAAACACCTCACAACCTCGCAACCATCACTCATTCATAGCTGCAGCCATTTTCTCTGTCAGCCCGCCTAAATGCATTGTGGGAGCAGGATGAATGTGTGTGGTGATATGTGTATTCTGCGTTTGATGTGTGTGTGTGTGTGTGTTTCCGTGTGTGTTTCCGTGTGTGTGCAGTCAGCAGGGGACGTGGAAAACAGCAGTTGGCTTTGCAGAGATACACGGTGGGCTTGTTCACTAAGAAAATAGATATCATTAGCTGGCTGCTGCACACACACACACACACACACACACACACACACACACACACACAACACACACACACACACACACACACACAAAGAAAAGATATCATTAGCTGCCTGTTTAGTATTCATACCCATCCGCTCTACCTCTGCTGCTCACACACGGCGAGGCAGAAATTAGCCAGCAGCACCTGACACTCCATCATGATGTCACAGCGGGATTTGGGTGGGTGTGTAGGTGTCCATCTGAGTGTGTGTGTGTGTGTGTGTGTGTGTGTGTGTGTGTGTGTGTGTGCACCACATTAGAGGCTGGGAGGAATAAAAGCCTCCAGCCATTAGCTTCCTAACACACCCTTGGCTTCCTGGAGGGAGACGCAGAAAGAGGATGAATGGACGTTTACGGAGGACGGTTTCACGTGAAACAGCCGAGAGGGCGAGGAAACGAAAACACAAACCTGATCAGGAGCGATGGCGGCTCTTCAGGGTCTAAAACTCACGGGGGGGGGACAACAGGTACCTTTAAAACCCGATCCATGTTTTTATAATCGGAGGGTTCAGATAACTCAGAGGTCTGAAACAGCCTTTCATTTCCCGACTGTTTCAGTCAGAAACAGCAGCTACAGCTCGCTCTTCAGCGCAGTCTCTGTTTTACCCATGATCCTTTGCTGCATGTCATCCCCACACTCTGCTCCATGTTAACTGTCCAATAGAAGCAAAAATGTCCCAAAGCTACGACTCCCTGCAGGAAGAAACGACAGATTTTGACGATAAAGCTCTTTACAAACCGGGAGACCGTGTCTTTTTCCCCCCCAGAAAGTCGCAAAATCACACCGGGCTTACAGTTTTAATACAAATGTAAAAACACAAAGTAATATTATACCTTTAAGGGAACATGAACGTTAACGCCTCATAGGTTTTGAATGACAAGAAAGAGAGAAAAATAAAAATAACAGAGAAAAAATAGAGTTATGATCAAAACAGGGAAAATACTGAGAGAAAGTCCGGTCAGAAGGAAGGAAGATTTCTAATTAGTCTTTACCAATTTTCCTTAAATTCAAAGATCTTTGTTGTCTTTGATTATAAGTTTATGAAAAAGGTCAAAGAAAGTTGAACTCAAACTAAAAACAGATAAAAACGACCGTGAAGGTCAGCGTCCACACGGTCTGAATCTGTTAAACTTCCTCTCTACAAAAATCACTTTTACAGTCTGAGCTGAATCTGAAATGATTGAAACTTTATGATCATGAAGAAATTCGAGTTAGTGAACATTTCAGTAAGTTATTTTAAACAGAGTGAAACAGTCTTTGTGTTTACAGTCTTTGCAGTGCGCTGTAATCCGACATCTTCACCCTCTAAACGCTGAAAACTCACAGGAGTCAGATTTTCATCAGAGCGCTCGGTCCGTCTGATATGGACCGTGGCGCCTCCATGAACCCGGACTCAGATGATACCAGACTGTGACGGTCTCTCTGCAGTCCCTCATAAAAACCCGGTTTATCTGACCTCCTCCAGAAGCTGCCCATCAGTGAAGTATTGATCCTGCTGCGCATCATCGATATATTCGCTCCTAATCAATGATCTGCTCTTAAAACTCCTCCATGCAGAGAGGAGAAATGGACATGTAGGCGGAGAGCTAATGACATAAACGTATTAGTAATGATATTGTAAATCAGAGCGAGGGAGGAAGAGGAGCGTCATCGACACCTCTCAGAAACAAATGGCTTTAATGTAAATTTAACATTATTATTATAGAGAGGAGGAAAACACAGGAGGGAGAGAAATGTATCCGTAATTTTATTAAACGAGAGAGAGAGAGGAAAAAACTCAACGATGAGTCAGAGAGCGAGGATGCCACAACAGAGCGTGTTTATCAGTGACGATGGTTAAAGAATATAAATATAAATATATCTGTAAATAAATGATCGTGTACGGAGGAGCAAGAGTCAGACGTCATGACTGAAATAGTGACACGAATGAACATGATCAAACTTCAGAGTGTAAAATTCAAAATAAACAATCATCAGTGAAACAAGTTTAACTTCAAACACTGACTGGCTAAACCGACAGGATCCTGAACGGCACCGCTCCGGACCGGCAGGCGGATCAGATCCGCAAGCATACATCGGAGGAGAAGCGCTCGTGAGATTACCGATATTTATCGCGAGACTGGACGAGATCTCACAAGCTTTCACGTGTTTCCCCAGGAGTTAGCGAATATAAACACCTACATCCCACAACCCTGGCCTCTCCTGTTATCAAGTTAACAGTTCAACATATTAACTTTATTTTATTTTGAAAATCAAATGGATATTTTACTCTGTAACCACATAAAACTTCCTCTGCTGCTCTTGTTGCGCTGCACTGAATTGATGCGCCGTACTCCGGCCTCCAGCAAAAATAGAAGCCCTGTGTATCTGATCCGGCTGCCGGAGCCGATCGCAGCGGAGCCGGACGGATTCTGTTGGATGACTCACATTGATATACAATGTCGGAGCGGAGTGAACCCAAATACTGCATCCTGATTGGTCAGATCCCAAAAAAAGGTGTAAAAGAAAGTGACCCCAGTTTCACAGAATTTCATGTTTTAAATTTCTGTTTTTCAATTTGCGTTAGTGTCATAAAGCAGTTCTCACCTATAGCTGCTAAAATCTGGACTATCACTGTTATCGTGAGGTTAGTTTATTCTCTCTGTTTTGATAGGATGACGTTTACGAGGAGGTCGGTTAGGTCGCTAAAAATCCCAACAGGCCCTGAGGAAAGGTGGGACAGGATCCTGATCCTGATCCCTCCCTGTCAGGATTCAGGTCTGAATGACCACCTGCTCATTTTACACGACTCGGTACTTTCTGCTCAGTTGAAGGGTTTGGATCTTTGAGGTTCAGTATCACTGAAAATGATGCTTTAACAGAGTCTTTGGATAGGTGACTTGTTCCCACACCTCTGAGTCCTCTCTCTCTCTCTCTCTCTCTCTCTCCCTCTCTCCATCCATCCCTCTTTCTTTGTGTGTTTGTGTATAAAGAAGAAAAAATGTGTGAAGATGACAAAATGTGATAAAGAGAAAAACAAGAGAAAGGAAAAGAAGGAGGAAGAGAGGGGAGGAGAAGGAGGAGAGCTGCAGGGAGACAGGAATGTGTTGTTTCTGCTGCACATGAGGAAACAACACACTCAGATTTGCATATGTACACTAACACAATAACACAATAACACAATAACACACACACACACAGCTGCAGCTCTGTGTGGGGGGTCTGACACTGTACCGCCTCAGGGTAAACACTCTACTGCTGTTTGTGTGTATGTGTGTGTGTTTGTGTGTGAGGAGGTGTGTGTGTGTGTGTGATTGCTTCATACAGTGTTGTGAGTGAGTACAGTGATGTGTACATGTGTGTGTGTCGGTGTGTTTGGGAGTGTGTGGCGGGTCTTGACCCCCATCAGTCTCACTCAGGACTCACTTAACAGAACCAGAGGGGGCCTCCAGCAGCACCAGCACCCGGGTCTGTGTGTGTGTGTGTGTGTGTGTGTGTGTGTGTGTGTGTGTGTGTGTGTGTGTGTGTGTGTGTGTGTGTGTGAGCGATAGGTGGTTGTTCAGCTCAGAGAAGACACCCATCTCAGTCGTCCTGGGATTGGCTGCTGAGTTAGCGGTGTTTATAAACACAAACACACTGTAACTGTAACTGTGTGCTGATCTATGTGCTGTATTTTGGCGGGGTGTCGCAGCTCAAAGAAGAACATTTATAATCATTTCTTTATCATTTCCTTGAAGTAATAATCACCATATTAATAATTTTCACTGCAGACGCCGTAGTTCTTCTGCCTTAGCGACTGGGCCTAATTGTATTTCCATGAAGAAATGATCATAAATGTTCTTCCTTGAGCTGCGGCACCCCGCTGTAGTCTGTAATGGACTGGCCTGAGGTCTCTCTACAAACAAGCGTCTGCTGGAAGAGAGTAGGTGAGTTGTGTTTAGTCTCTTTGCTAAAGAAATGAGTCAAAGTTAAAAAGATGTTTGGTGTCTAGTACTATGTCTGTGACCCTATATGTACTAACCTCAGTAGAACATGGTGTAGTTCTGTTCAGTAACAGAACCTCATTGGAAAATTAGCTGATTTAACTTTACTGTGCTCTTGTTCAAATATATTAACTCGACAGCACATATATCTATACCTGTTAACAAAATCATGATTTTATTGATAATTCGGCTCAATAAAAACACCTTTACCTTTTCATTTTACTACAGTAGAAGTTTCTTGGCCCAGCTTATAGACTACAGAAGTGGAGAAACGCCCCCGCTTAAGTTTATGTTTTCTTAGGAGTTAGAACAACTCTGAATATAGTACTATGTCTGTGACCCTATATGTCCTGTTGATGAAGTTAGGTGCTGTTCTGAGCATTATTTGTGGCTATAGAGTGGCGTTTTGGTTGAGGTTTGTTTATGGCTCCTCAGACCGCTGTGTATTACTATCCTGCAGTCGTTACTAAAGTTGGTTTAACTAGAGAAGCAAGCGGTCGACAACATTCATCTCTAGAGGGAGGGTCTAACTCAGTGTTACGGTGTGTTTGACCCTCAATTAATTTCACGCCGGAATATCCCTTTAAAGGGATATTATTTGAAGTAGGGTTGTACGAGCTACATGTTACTAGTGAGTCTGTAAGACGACTCAGTGTTTTATTTAGTTTTATTTAGTCTTTTTGAACAAACTGATACTCAGTGAGCTGCAGGAGTAAGTGCATGCATGTATGTTTGCATGCATGAGGTCTCTTGAAGTTAGACAGTTTATGAGGCAGACCTGATACTGTAGACTCTAGGTGTGTTGGTTCCCTCAGAGCTGAGTGTAGTCCTCTGAGGTTAATCCACTCCTGAGTGACATGAAGCTCAAATAGCTTCATGTTTGGACATTTTTAAAGTGAAGTGTGTGTGTGAAAGGGTCTGAGAGTATCCCTGACTCTTGTACAGATCCTGGTTCTGGACTTTAACAGTCCTGAGTGAAGCTGGTTCAGCTCTGAGTTCACTTTGTGACGCTTTCCTCTCTGTTTTCCATCCTCAGCTCTCTGCACACACACACACACACACACACACACACACACACACACACACACAGACACACACACACGCTGTAACCTGATATTTCTCATTAAAGAGGGTAAAATAAGTCAAACAGACAGCATGAAACATAGAGTAGCTCTGTTTTTGTGTGTGTGTGTGTGTGTGTGTGTGTGTGTGTGTGTGTGTGTGTGTGTGTGTGTGTGTGTGTGTGTGTGTGTGTGTGTGCTGCAGGAGTGGGTGTGTTCTAAGAAGACAGCATATTCATTAATTTGGGAATAATTGATTATCGGCTCCTAACTTGTGTTCCTTGGTTTTGGGTTGTGTTTATATATGTGTGTATGTGTGCGTGCATGTGTGTGTGTGTGTGTGTGTGTGTGTGTGTGTGTGTGTGTGCACAGTGCTGAACCCGTTTGTTTTTATGAATTTTCCCTCAAACTGAAGTTATTTGTAGACACAGAGTATAAATCCTCGCTGTTCTTTTGGGCGCCGGTGACCTCTGACCCCTGATTGTTTTCCTCTGACTGACCTGTGAGTCTCTGTGGGTGTGTGAGACATCATGAGAATGTAAATTGTGGATTTCCATCCAGACGCCCCGCGGTGTGCGGAGGGAAAGAAAACACGGCCAGCGAATAAAGAATGTGAGAACGAAGCGTCTGCGCTGTCGGTCCGAAACCCCCGAAGAGAGAAAAACCAGTCAGCACGCTTCATTGAGAGGATGGATGCTGTTTTCAAAGCTTCAAACAGACCCACATATTTACAGCTGGGTGTTTCCCCCCGAAAACCAGACGCTGCCACACACAGGAGTCCTGAAACACACAGTATTTCATCAGGGTGGGTCTGGGTCTGGGTCTGCAGGACGGAGTGCTGAATGCTGCTCTCAGCTCGGGGACTTTCACTTAAAAACTGTTTCACTCTCACCAAGGAGACCGCTGCGCAAACACATTACAACATTTTCACAAAACCAGAAGCAGCAGCAGCAGCTTCATCAGCGTGACCTTGGATTTATTTATTGACTAAAAAAACACAGAGTAGAAAACCCCCCCGAGGTCGGGAATTTAGCCGAGCGATGCAGAAACTACCACACAGAAGAACCAGAGGTCCAGTCAAAGATTTAATATTAGAGATTCACAGATTACTTCAAGTCTGTAAAGGCCGTTCACTCTCTGCTCAAGGTGTTTGTGATCCATCTTCCCATGAGAGAGCAGAATTAAACGTGTAATTTAGAGACATTAGATGTTCAAATGAAGAAACGATTGTCTTAGTTTAATATCTTCAAACTTTTTGAGACCAGAACTGAGACAAACACACGGTAACGTTTGTTTTTTTAAGTCTACATTAAAAGTTTTCTTAAAAATTGACTTTGATAATTAACAATGAAGATCTAAATCTTGCGCCCTCCTCTGAGGGTTTGTTATTTCTGCCCTATCTTGATTATCTGGCGGAAGAACCTCATTGGTCGGCACAGCTGTCAATCGTGATGTTATTCCCATTTTTACAGCTTCAAATAGTTCTGCGTTCCAGTTACCTCGGACGTCAGATGTCCGAGCTGGGAATGACGTTACACCCGAGTTGACGGCGATATAGTTAACAAGTCAGAAAACCAAGATGGATGCCTACAGTTACCCGTTGTTAGCTGTTGTTAGTTGTTGATAGCTATACCGGTTGTAAACAACACATAACACAGTTTTTTACTCTACAAACACCACCGCACCGTGTTCACAGTTAGACGTTGGGCCGTACAACATAAACCACTTATTTAATTTCTCAAAAACAAAACAGAAGTGCTGATAAATCAAAAAAGACAAGTGCTTTTACTGTTACTCTTTACTGCTGATGCACTTTGCTGCCATCTTGAATTATGACGTTGTCGTCAAGTCGGGGTTGGTTAGGATCGACCATCTAAACTGGTCTTTAAAAATAAACACTTTATAAATAAATGAATAAACTAAATTAGTATGAGGAGAATGTAATGATGCCAACAAATTAAAAAAATATAAATGTTAACTCTGGGTAACTCAGTGGTTCCCAGTAGGGGGCAGCATTAACGCTATAAGCCAATCACAGGCCTAAAATGTTGA